ACTGGTGTGGAGGTTCCAAAAGAAGTCCGGAAGCTCGTCGCCGTAATAGAACACTTTGAAGCTCAAGTCCGCCAATGTTTCAGAAAAACAATCGCTCGTGCCACCAGCTTGAAGATTTGAAAACCGTAGACCAGGCCCTGGAGCACTCTGTGGGTTGGCCTTGTTTACTGATTGTTGGTGAACTTGATTTCGAACGGTTCGTCAGCTTCGGCGATGGAGTCAATCATGTGCGTTCCTTATTTATCTTCTGCAGTTTTGATGCTAGAATCCCACGCAGCAGCAATATCCTCAGGATCTTCGTTAGGGTGTAGGTTGCGAAGATGCTCCAGCGTGGCGTTGTTGCGCGGTGAAGGTGCCGGGGGGATTAAGGCACCGGCAGCTTTAGTGATGCCCCCTCTTTCATGCACCAGTCTTGTAGCTCTTCTTTGGCGATTGTCTTCAGTATCCGCATATCACTGAAGTCGACGATCCTTCTCATACAGCATGAGCCAGGCAATAGCCTCACTAAGGGCCATTTTAAACGGGGCGATTTTTTTCCCAGTTTCCAAAATTTTCGTTTCAAAAACACACGGAACGGCGATTTGCGGCGCCCACACAACATTTTTCTTTTTGGAAAATTTGGAAATTTGGAAAGAAGTAGGGGCCGAAAAATTTGGAATGGTTCGTTCCAAATTTTTGGAACCTTTCCAAAAACATTTTTCGGGATTTTGGAGCGAAATAGCGCTGCGTTTAAAACGGCCCCAAGGTCACCGTTTGGTTGCGAAGCGGATAAATCGGGATACCCTGTCCATCCTTCCATCAGTCGATCCGTGTAACGCTGGGGTAAGATGAAGCAACTTGGTTGCTCGGACAAGTTGGAGCTGTCGTTCAACGCGTGCTGTTGTATGCCTTTCTGTTGCGAGAGGAGACAGATCGGAGGTATCCGACTCTTGTTGGTCCATGTGCACAGCTCCAAATGCTTGCACGAAGAGGATGAGGACGTGTTGGAAGTGCTTGCAAAATTCGTGATCGTGCGTAGTGTGTGCGGTCTCCCTCTCCTCGCTGTAGCTCTTCTCGGAGCTGCTGCGTGCTCGTCATCGACTCACTGTGGATGCGATTTCGTGCCGGGAGCACCTGCTGCGTGCTCGAGTTTCGTGCTTGATATGTCCGATCACCATACATAGGAAGTCATCAAACATCAAGTTGTTGTGTGCGTGCGAATTTCGGCGAAGACCTCCGCGTCGAAAGGCGGCAGAGGTCTCTTGTTGGCGGTCTAAATAGGTTCACACACATCAACATTCCTGTTGTAGATTGGACGGAGCTTCAATTTGATGGCGGGTAGCCAACGTTGAGGCGAAATTTCATCGAGATCGGAGCAATTTCGTGCTGTTTCGTGCCGGGAGCACCTGCTGCATGCTCGATTTTCGTGCTTGGTAAGTCCGATCATCTACATTGCCAAACGTTGACGAGAGAGGCGCCAATCAAGACGACTCTTGCTGACGGCGTCTACCGTACATCAGGACATCCGATTGGTCTGATTCCTGGCGACTCGGGCGTTCGCGTCAAAAAAGCGCGTCGCTCTATGAAACCTCTCGAGACCGTATCGGTCTCCTAGAGGAACACCACGGGGACGACCGCTCACCCCAGGACAAAGCGATGAAGGTTTCGGCTCGTGTGCCGGCGCACCGATAGAAGTAGTAGATGATTGGTATCGCTGCTTGCTTCGGGCAACCGTGCTGGTCTTCTAAGATATTTTCGTTTTTCTTTTTCCGTTGGGTGGTGTAGAGAGCAGTGAACAGATGAAGATTCGTACAAAAAGTAGTGGGATAAATCTTGTTGCATCGTAACGACGACGGTTAGGGCAAGAAGAAAGCGGTAACCATAGTCTAGATGGACACCGGCTATACTCGTTCTTATTTTGAGGGAACAGACGAGGATAAGATGTTCTGTGCTGCGTGCTAAAAACTACGCGAATTGGGTAGTTACGAAATTGGAGAACAACAGCTGTGACAACCCGCACGCCTTGGACTGAGGGATCGCGTGTAAATACGATGTCTTCGCACGTATCCAGAGTGCAAGACTGTTCGAGAAGATATTTACGCGAGTACGCCTGCACAACTCGCTGCTTCCATCCCTGTATCTATGCGCGCGCGTACGTACAACAAGAACAGATATGCCTCCTCGAAACGCGGCGTATGTACAAAATCCAAAATAATGCCTCCCTCGAATACTGGGGAATACACACACACGTCTCGTTCCGGCGAGAACGAAATCCACTACTCCGTACATTTCGCGCGAGTGCGTATAATAATTTAAGCATCGTTTTGCGGCGAAAAAGCTTCCGTGACCCTATCGTTGGCAGGGTAATCGCGGGGAGGGAGGCAACGTACGCATGGCCGAATTGGTCGAGATTGGAGCTATTGTACAATGGATGCATGGATGGATGTGTTCCGACGAATAAGAGAGAGTCATGAATCATCAAGTTGTCAATTTGTTGGTGTGCGTGCAAAATGCGGCGGAACATACTAGTGCGTGCGCAATGCGGTGAACAAGAGGTTACAAATAGGAGAAACAGCTGTGACAACCCGCATGCCTTGGACTGATATATCCCGAATGTGCCATGTCTTTGCACGTATTCAGAGTTCAAAATTGTTCCGGAAGAGAGATACACAAGCACGCCTGCACATCGCTCCTTCCATCCCTCCATGCGATAGACTATTTATTCGCCGCGTTTCGAGGAAAATACGCGTTCCTCAGTCCAAGGCAAGCGGGTTGTCACAGCTGTTGTTCTCCGATTTCGTTACAACCCAATTCATTCGCGTAGTTTTGCACGCAACACAGAACATCTTATCCTGTCGCCTGTTCCCTCTACATCAGACTGAGTATTAGGCGTTGTTCATCTAAACTATAGTATACTCTCCGCTTTTTTCTTGCCCTGACCGTTGTCCTAAGGATGCAACAAGATATATTTATCGCACTACTTTTTGTGCGAATCTTCATCTCTTCACTGCTCTCTACACAATCGAAAAAAAAAAATGTAAATCTCTTACCAGAGGACCAGCACGGATGCCCGAGGCAAGCTGCGATACCAACTAAATAAGGCATCCCCACGCTGATTTCCCCCGAAACCGGTCGATTTACGTATTAAACACAAATTTCGGGTGTATTTGACGCATAAACGACCCCAATTTTTTCGGCTTATCGAAGATATTTGCATACCCTCCTATTGTACGAACCTTGTGTGGAATATATTGGGCCAAGGTGGAATGCGGTGAAGGGCTATCTGATTCAAGGTACCCGTGTAGACGCATTGTAGGAATACTGAGAGTGATGTGACTGCGTCTGTCTGCGTTCATCTCTGGCTTACGAGGGCGTTGGTGTCAGACCAAGTTGGTGGTTTGATACCACAGGTTTGGGTCTTCAACGAAGTATCACCCCTGACAGTCCCCTCGGTCGTTGTACAGTGTTCAGGGTGGAACATTGTAGGTGTCCGCTTCGTCTTTCCGTACCGCCGTAGGAGGCGAATAGTCTATCGCGGGGCAATCGTGTCGAGATCAGGATAAACTACAATGGGTTGGTGATGAATTGTTTCCGCAACCTTTTGCGCGCGCGCGTCAAAATATTTGAAACCGTCGTTTTGCGGGGAACATACCTCCTCGATGGCAGGCAAAATTGGTAGGCACACAGCTATTTAATCGTCGAAAACACTTGTCAATCCAGCTGCAAATTGGACGGGGCTTCAATTTGGTGGGAGGGTAGGCAGCGTCTAGGTTCAAATCGATCGAGATCGGAGCAATTTGATGTCGGCAGCACTTGCTTGTGTTTCGTGCTTGAGAGTGCCAGTCACCGACACAGCCAACGGCCAACGCAGAAGGCGCCCATCAAGCTGAAACTTGCGGAGGGCTTCGAAAGTAGTAGAGAGGACGGCTGATGGGGGGATGTCTCGCTTCTCGGGGGTTCGGCTCAATAAAGTGCGTGGTTTAGGCCTGAGGACTGGAAGTGATTATTCATTCATTCACATTGAATATTTTTTTCGTTCTGTGAGACCTCTAGAGACCATAAAGGTCCCCTAGAGGAACTAGAGGCCATAACGGTTTCCTAAAGGAACTAGAGACCGTATCGGTCTCTCAGAGGAATCAATACAGCTGCCATCATAATACAGGCAGACAAAATAGGGTCAAAATTATCCAGCCGGTTCTTCTCCCATTCACTGCAAAGCCTTCGATACATCCTCTTCGACTGTGGAACCATCTCGAACGGATAGCCGTTCTGCCAGTGATCGAAGTCGGAAGTAAACTAACACAATTAATGGATTGATATTGCAGCTTGCCTCGGGCAACCGTGCTGGTCCTCTAAGAGATTTTCGGTTTATATTTAAGGTGGTGGTGTAGATGGACAACGGCAAATGCTCAGTCTGATGTAGAGGGAACAGGCGAGGATTAGATTTTCTGCGCTGCGTGGAAAACTACACGACTTAATTGGGTTGTTACGAAATCGGAAAACAGCTGTGACAACCCGCATGCCTTGGACTGCGGGAACGCGTGTTTTCCATGTCTTCGCACGTATCCAGAATGCAAGACTGTTCGGGAAGCGGATAGCCGGTCTGCAATTGATCGAAGTCGGAAGTACACTAATACAATGAATGGATATGTGTTCCGACGAGAAAATAGAGTTATCATCGTATCAACGGGCGAGCGTGCGCGCGAAGAAAGACTTCAGCCGCAACCGTAACCGTTCCCGGCGAAATGTGGCGGGATATCCTGCCGCGGGGGAGGTGGCTGTCGTGTGCTCCGCACCTCTCGCAGACAGCCTAAAGAGGTAGGCGCACAGCCATCCCAGCATCGGTATCTTGTTGCAGATTGGACGGCGATCAAGTTGATGGCAGAGAGTCGAGATTTTCGCACGAAAAACATGAGGGTACCCCTGGAGAGCACACACGGGTGGTTGTGGCAACCACCATCGTGGCCTCCGTTCACCGCTTGGTGCCGCAATCCCTAACGATCAGCCTCACTACCCCGCAGATGGGTGAGCCAAGCGTCAGGCGGCCGAAGCCGTGACCCCAATATCAATGCTTCGTCTCTGTCTGTGCCTATGTCTCGCTATCCTTATCCCTGTCTCCATCTACTCTATTGATTCTACTAACATGTCCGAACGTTTCCCATATAATGTGTTGCTCCCCGACTCGCTCTCCCTCCACTCGTCCGCCGTAGGAATGGAAGAGGTTGAGACGAAAGAGGCTGACCATGAGTGTCCTCGGTCATCGCAAGCGCGAGTGGTCCTGGTCACCGTCGGGGTAGTTCCAACGCAATTACCTTCCGAAACTGAATAATGGGGGGTGTACAGACGAGAGGAAACAGGACGATTTCGTTTCGGCGATAACTATTGTTGCATATCGAAGGATTGGTGGTAAATCTCATCAAGGCTGAATATCTGCAAGCAGGGGGATATCGGGAGGTTGCGTTAGTCAAGCTAGTGCAAGGTGGATCTCCTGAAGCAAGCACCATTCCACATAGAGCCGATGACTTACATACCACGGAGGTGGAAAACAAAAGACCAGAGTTTACAGACGTTGTCTTTACAACACTATCCCCCCAGTGCCATCAACAGCCACAATGCATGTCTCGGCGGGATATCACACAAAAGGAGCTTGGGCATCAATCGAACTAGCGACGGAGGTTGAAAACTATTCGTTCTTGCCTCCTGATCCTCCAGGCACTTGCGACATGCAGCGAACGGAGCCGTGTGTGTTGGTGTGTGACTCGTCATCAAGCCTTCCGTACACGGTGTGCACAAAACGACTTGTTCTCTCAGGTAAGCCGGAAAACGTGCAGTACTTGTTCGACAAGGCGAGGTTATTGGCCGTATATCGGAGAGAGCTAGCAAGTCTAAACGCCGCGTCATCGAAGGTGTATCACGGACCAAACAGTGCAAGCTGGTACGCTGTGATAGCAATGGAACGCGTGTGGGTATTGTAAGAGCATGGGTGAACGAAAGAGACCAAGAGAGCGCAACTTCAAGCGAACGGAGGTTTGGCCTGTTTCACCATGAACATGAAAGTATCAAGCCCGCCCGAAGTGCTCCAGCTTGTGTACATCACAGGAAGAGACTTAGGAACTCACTGTTGAAGCGTGTGCGGTGTTTTCACTGGGGGAAACCTGGCTCGGACGATGTCGATGGTCGAACCCCCTCATAACCATCACCAGCTCCTCGTCCCCACCCGCTGCTTTGACCCGTTGGGTCTCTGACATGGAATTGTGTGGGGTGACGCCAGCAGGAGAGGTCTGCTGCTCATCAACATGGAGATCACAATCGGTTCGAGTGGATCAGCAGATTGTGTAGCCTAAAAGGTACAGTCTACTGGAGCTTGGGGGGAAGTCAGTTTTGAGATCGTCCGTCGACAAAGGTATCGAACCCCTTCCCCTCCTGTCTGCAAGATATTGAGACTGCGGCAACGAGATAGGAAAGCACCGGCGGGTCGCAAGAGATTCAAGCCGGGCGTCTGGCTGACATCTAACGTATAGCGTGAAGATGACAGAAAAAACGTACCCCGTTCCAACGCTACGCGCTTCTGGAACTTGTTGAGCAGGTTTTGCTCCAACATTCGGACGATCTCGTCGAAGGGTTCCTTAAAGATGCTGACCCGCGCCTCGACACTGAGCTCGTGAAAGGCCTCCCTGTGATTCGGGACAACGATGGAATGGGTATACAATATGCCCGTTCGAGTGTAGGTCTTCTCAACGATATCCGATCCCTGCGGAAGTCTGCTAAGAATGTCAAGCCCGCGACACGATCACCCTGGAGCTCTAGCGCGAGTTGACATCGAGGTAGTGTCACGTTCTCCACATTGCCTCGCTACGGGAGTTGATAGACGGGTGTCCATCTTCGAATCGCGTGGCCCCGAAGGGATTGGGGTTACCGGGACACAGTTGCCGAAGACGCGTAGGATCACCTTGTTCTGAACGGCGCAATGCGTTTTTGCATTGCGCTGGATATGTTGATCTCGTGCGGTGACGTGGGAAGCACGTAGTGGTTCAGGATGTGCAAGAAGCAGTTGAACTGCTCATTCTCAGGGTTTCTCGTGATCTGCAAAAGAATTTTCACGATGTATCGCGCAAACGAGGTGAGCCCATTGAGATGAGGAACTTCTACAAACACGACCAAACGGGTGTCATTTCCCGTCCCATAGCAGGCAGTTTCTCTGTTGCCGATGTTTTCAAGTCTCGACGCAATATACAACTGATTCCCCGCAGTACCATCTATCGATTCTTGCCTCATCTCAAGCACACCAACTTGATAATCATGATGCATGGTGTCGCCCATTCCGTACGCATGCAGAGAGCAAAGGTGTTTGTCCGGCGCTGGTTTATCAAAGGAGCATCAATGTCATGTTCTGTATCTGGCAGCTGCACATGTACTTACGAGGCCTGGGGCAATCCGTTTATAGCGGACAACGTCGACGAGGAAATCCCAGCTCTCCATGCACAGGTTCTCCTGGCAGAAAATTCCAAACTGCTCAGCAATTTCTCCATCACTGCTTGCGAGCCGTAGCACGCCACCCACGTCCAACGCTGACATGGCAACCGTCTCTTCGACAGGAACCACAGTGGCCCTGAACCATGCCTGCACCCCGCCACGATGGGCTCTCACCATGGGAAGGAGCAACCTGCATCGATGCAACAGCCAATGCGTCGAGCACGCGCGGGCGGCCAAATGATGGAGCATTGTCTTGGCTTGCATTGTGATTTCATGCAGGTGGCAGGTGAGAGAAGAAGGTCTCCCCGGACATGCCCATGCCCTGTCATACATCCTCGCCAAGATGGAGGGAGGCCCGACTACATTGCACGAGCCTGTATCACGTTCTGCTTGGAAGCCAAACCCTACTTTGTCGGCGCGGACCCAGAGGCTAAACGAATGTGACTGATTCTGAGGCGAATTAACCTGTTCGAGGCATGATACTACCCACAGCAACAATGAGGTTCGTCTCACCCCCAAAATCCACCGTTCATCCCGAACAGGAGCGCTAGCACTTCGACCACCACATGAAGTCCAGGTGTATTGGACAACATTTCCAGTTCCACCAGCACTTGGATCGCCCACAGTACAACTGCGTACAATGCAGAGACAGAGGCCCAGGGACAGCGTGGCGTGCTAGTTGGTGGATCCTCTTTATCGTCAGGCAATCGTTGGTGGAAATCGCTATTCCAGAATCTGTTGGTTTTGGCTCGCATCGTGCGTGACGCACGGCAAGCAGAATTTGGCCGCAAACTTCCTCGACGCTCTGGGGGCGTGTTCATGGTGTATGACACGTATAACAACGATGAAGCAAGGCCTCTGTTTGCATCACAGAACCCATAACACACATGGAAAACAATAATAGTCTTGACGTATCCTGTTCCTCTGCATCAGGACGCTCACTCTACTCTTGACTGGTGCCGGGAAGCCCTCCGAGAGAGGGGGTGGAGTGCTATATCGAACGTCTACGGTAGCTGGGTGTAACCTTTAGATAGCTAAATCTTGCCTCACCTGCACTGCTGCAGCAGCCCATGATCGTACAACACAATTCTTCGCGAAGCTTGAAAGCGTCATTTACTCGCGATATTCGTACGACCAAAAGGGACACCGGCGCTGCGCCAAAAAGGAGTGCTGCTCCAAGGAGAATGATGTCGTCCCAGTAAAAACACTCTCGCATGTCGCTGCAGATTAGACAACAGTTCAGGTGAGCCGGGAGGTGAAAGGGATGAGAGGAGAGATTTACCTCAAACACGCGTTTTCATGTTGCGTTCAATCGACAAATCTCGGCTACCATGGCCGTGCTTACGCGTTTGTCGATAGTGGGATGCTTGGGTGGATACTTGTCTGGGTGAAAGAGATGGATGAGGCGAACGCTTGACAGGGCACTTTCGTTCAAGGCTACGGTACCAATGAAATGCTATGCTAAACCTTGCTGGTTTTATCTAAAAGTTCGAAAACATTAACGGGTTTCCCGTCTGGGAAAAATCGACTCTAAAAGCGCTCCTGGGGGAGATATCGACTCTGGAAGTTCCTCCACTTCGGTTTGGCACGTTTTTCGAAAATCAGAAGAAGCGATTATTTTTCCGCTAGGCGCGATTTTCCAGTCGACTCTAAAATCGCTTCTGGCGAACGGCAACCTTACCTGTTGGCCATTCACACATCTGGGCACCACGATGATAGACCAACATACAGAGACATCAGCCTGAGCAGCACAAGAGACAACACACCCATCTACATTATTTAGATATAATATGCGAGTTCTCATGGGAATTCGCATGTGCTCCCATGGGACCTCATAAGACCGTATGAGAGGCCACGAGATCCCATGAGACTCCATGCGACCCCGTGAGACCACCCATGTGACACTACGATACTCCATGAGATCTCATGAGAGCCCATGAGAACCCATGAGAGCTCATGAGAGCCCATGAGAGATCATGAGAGCCCATGAGAGTTTATGAGAGCCCATGAGAGCTCATGAGAGCTCATGAGAAGCCATGGGAAGTCATGAGAGCTCATGAGAGCTCATGAGATCTCATGAGAGCTCATGAGAGCTCATGAGACTTCTCACGAGAATTCTCATGGGGTCTCATAAGAGTCTTATGAGACCCCATGAGAATTCTCGTGAGAAGTCTCAGGAGTTCTCATGAGAGGTCTTATGGGACACAATGAGACGTCTTATGAGACCCCATGAGACTTCTCACGCGAATTCTCATGAGGTCCCGTGAGGCCCCATGGGGTCGCATGAGAACTCTCATTCTTCCTATGAGAATTTGCATATTTTGTTCAAATGATGTACATGACCCACACGAGGCAACCAGCAGCAGCTTACTTAGCAGCAGAACAGAAATTCGCTCTCCGTAGCGAGCGGCGGGAAGCAGAGAGAGGTGGCGACATATACCCACGCTCGCGAATCCCCGAAAAAACTGTAGGCAAAACCGGGCGATGGTGTTTTTATTATTAGCATCGACCGCGCTAACCGGCTGACCAATGAAAATACGTCAGCCTTAGTGCGGTTGAAAACACAAAACACTTCTATCTGTTGTATGTGTGTGCGTGTGTGTGTTTTTATTGTTAGCATCGACCGCGCTAACCGGCTGACCAATGAAAATACGTCAGTCTTAGTGCGGTTGAAAACACAAAACACTTCTATCTGTTGTATGTGTGTGCGTGTGTGTGTTTTTATTGTTAGCATCGACCGCGCTAACCGGCTGACCAATGAAAATACGTCAGTCTTAGTGCGGTTGAAAACACAAAACACTTCTATCTGCCATGAACTGGGACCCCGTGAGGGGGCAGCATGGGGGAGGCTAAACT